TCTGTCTAACGTCTGCCTCCCCTACTGTGTTTACGTTCTGTAGTGGCAGGGACAGTGTCTTGTTTGTAACTCTTTGCTCGGCACCTGGCACAAACAAGCACTCAATAAAGATTGTAAAATAAATGTGTGCAAAATGCAGCTCTTTTCTAAAGGGCACCTTGGTTTAGTGGGGAGTGCAGATGTGAAAAGGCCTTTCAGCAGAGTAGGGATCCAGGAGTAGAGACTCTGGAGTCAGATCTTGTGGTTTCAAAACAGTCCAGAGCACACCACTAACAAGCCATATGACCTGGAACAAACCACATCACTTTTCTCTTCAATTAGATAGTTGAACTTACGCCATAGAAGGCTATGAAGATGAATTAAGACACTTAAAACAGGTAGACATTCTTAACTCGCTAATAAAGGCTTACTATGTCCTGTTATAATTAAGTAAACAAACATTATGTATCTGTTACATTATAATCCAGGCACATCGTAACAGTGATGCTGCAGCAGGCAAGACTGTCCAAAACTGCCCTGGAGTTTCCCTCTGGGTTGCTTGGACTAAGAGCTAACTAGGATCAGAGACTCACCTTCTTCCAGGGTGAGGGACTGTATCCAAGCTCAGTGCTTCCCACCTCCCCGATACTCTCCTCAGCTACCCACATCCCTCCATGCGCTGAGCAGCTGGTTCTCTAGATAACTTTATAAGCAACTGACACCTAAATCCAGACATCTGGCCCAAAGCTATAGGTTTATACCCTTCGCAGACAAGGCGGCTTGCTAGCATGTGTACCCTGAGAAGGCAGAGTGAGCTGTCTCTCCAGACTTCCCTTCTGTGATGGGACAATCAGGTGCTTTCTTTATTGACCTATGGCTGGTAAGTTTCCCCAGGAAAGCCTATTCTGTAACTTGTGCCTTGTGATGTGGAATTTGCCTCTCCCCCACATCTACCATGTGTTGAGTACTTACTTTGAGCCAAATGTTTTAAAATGTAGATTTCGTTATTGAGGTATGGGGAGGATAGCAGTTCAGGAGATGATTGCCATTGACAAGATAGACTGTTACTCACAGTTGCTTTGTGAAGGGGCCATGCTGGGATGTACCAGGGTTGGTCAGGAGGCAGAGGCAGTGAGGAAGAGTGAGCAGGAACCTTTATTGTGGTTTCCTTGGGAAAGAATGGGCAAGGCAGGGTAAAGAGGCTTAGGACTGATTAGTTTGAATAATTTCAGTGGGCTTTGGGACATATGTGCTGCCTCTAGCTGTTTGGTACCTGGTCCTGGGGCGATTAGGGCAGAGGGATGGTGGTCCAGAGTGTTACCGCCTGATGGAGGAGATGGTGGGGGTCACACTGTGCATTTGGAAGACATGCTCAAAGGTGAGTTGTTTCCTACCTCTAGGCATTGGCTAGCCCTGGGAGGGGCAGTCCCCCAAGTGTCATTAAGGCCCCAGAAATCAAAACATCAGAATAAAAAGGTGTTAATACATCAATTGCTTCTCAGAGGCTTTGTTGTTTCCAATTTCTATAACACGGAAAGGTCATTGTTAACTCTATTTTTGGAAGAGGAAATGGAATCTCAAAAAGGTACAGTTGGTTACTAATGTCACACAACTAGTAAGAGATTGCACCACGATTCTAAATCGGGTTACCTGACTCCAAAGCTGGCTCACTTTCAGGGAGGTAGATCACTTCCCTGCAGTATAAAAAGTATAGTGGGGACATTTTTCAACCCTTATTAGGCATTTCACAGTGTTGAACATTGCCTCTTGGAAATTCCCCTTCTTGACCATGGTGATGCTCACTCCGTGCCATGCATTGGCTTGAGTGATGGAGATACAGTAGTGAGCAATAACGTTGATGGAACTTACAGTCTAGTCATGGACAAGGCAGGTGTTAACTAAATAATGCCACATGCTTATATACAGCATGTGACAAAGTAAGAACAGTACTCTAAGGGAAAGGAATGCAGTTGTTTTTAACCTTTTCTCTCATGAGTCCTTGACAGGCCCAGGGTTTTCAGCCCTGACCACACATCACAGTCACTTGCAGAATGTTTTACAAATATAGTTGTTGGGACCCTGCTCAGGAGATTTTGACTCAGGCTGGAGTGTGGACGAGGCACATGAAATGAGTGCAACCAGTGAACACCTCACCTTGGCTAGAGGGTGTTTGTTTTTAAAAAACTGGTCACAGGATTGTGATCAGATTTGCAATCTGAAAAGATCACTCTGTTTACAATTAGGTAACAGGCCAAGGCATTCCAAGTGAATGAGTGTTGGGAAACCAGTTGGTGAGTTATTGTGCAGTGTGACAGAATAGTTGCTGGAATGAAGATGGTAGTGGCAGAGATGGGCAGATTCTGGAGATAGAAAATAAAATCAATAGGGCTTAACTTGCATTCAATGAAGGAGGTAGGGAAAGGACCATGTTGGGGATGCCTGCGTGTTTTTGGCTGTGCAGCCAGATGGATGTTCCTGCTTCCTGAGGGGGACCACTGGGAGAGTAGCAGGTTTAGGGTGAGGGGAATCATGAGTCAGTTATGCATATGCTGAGTTTGGTGGGAGTGAGGAGCTATGGTGAATAGGTGTGGAGTTCAGATGGGAGGTCTAGCCTGGATTAATGGTAACTGAAGGCGAGGATGAGACTGCCCAGGAGGAAAGTGAAGGGTGAAATGGGGGAGGACAAGGGCTCAACTTATGGATTGACTGGGGGAGGGTAAACCTTTGAAGGAGGTGAGGAAGGAGCAGGGGTGATTTCCTTTGATTAAAATCTTCCCTAAACCACACAGCCATGGAGGACAAGTTGGTGCGCATAGTATTTATAATAAAAGGTGAATATCACAAACATATTGAAATGAAAAGACAAGAGACATAACAGACTAATGGTCACTAAGTGAAGTACACACGAGTGCAATGCAGCCCTTGGTAAATGCCACGTACACATCCATGCACAGATCTGACAATGCATAAGAGATATATTTAGTATTTTTATTGCACTGAAAAAATTAAGAAGAAAAATATCCCAAGTTTCTCTGTGTTTAGGTGTGTATAGACCACTTGTTAATATCTAGCAAAGCATTTTCGGAAATGTTGCTTTGTAGACATTTCATACCTAACTTTCTTTATGAATAGCTCAGCAAATGATACCACCATTTTCTCCAGTTACCAGGACCAGCCAGAAACCTGAGTCCTTCTCGACTCTTCTGTCTTCCAACCCCTTATCCAGTGTGTCCCTAAGTCGTGTCAAGTCTTCCATCTTTGTATCTTTTGGCTCCCGTGGCTCAGGCCTTCATGGTCTCACCTGAATGGTTGCAACAACCATCTCTTCTCCACGCCACTCTCTGGGTGGGCAGACAGACCTCCAGACAGTCTGGTGACCATGGAGATCAAATGCAAACTGTAGCACAACCTCTGTGATTCAGAGTGGCCAGGCTGTTTCTGCGGGGTGCCTCCTCTCCCACTGTTCCTTAACTGTGCCTCAGGCTCTGGCACAGGGTTCTTAACCTGGCTGCCCCTTGTGGCATTGTTGTAGCCCCACCCATGGATATTCAGATGCAGTAGGTCTGCCATGGGTTTCATGCCCTGTGGCTGATTCTGAGCCTTAGTCAGAAGTGACACCCACTATTCTGGTCTCCCCAAACTACCCTTAGTTTCCTCAGTGGGCCACATCCTCTCATACCCACTGTTCTCTTGCTGGAGTGACCTTCCTGTACAGCTCCATGTGGCTCACTCATATCAGATTTTGCTGCAGTGTCTCCTCCAGGAGGCTTTTTCTGGCTCTTCCTGTCCCTTTCTCCCCAGTCTTGGTTAGTCTTCTTTCCTTAGTGCTGCCTTATCTTCTTAATTTTACCTTTGGATTTATCACCCCGTGTTTGTCTACCTGTCGCTCTCCCATACTAAACTAAGAGTCCCTGGGGCAGACCTTTGAATCCTGAAACTCCTGCGTAGTACACTGCTTAGTAAACAGTAAATGCTCAAGTATTGGTTGAATGAATGAATGAGTCCATGTGTCTTTTCTGTGTGCTGTTTCAGAATCCTGTGACTTAAAGTCAGGAGTAGTTTTTCCTTGTTTGTACATTTACCCATTCTCCATGACCCCTTCCTAATGTTTTTATTGTTATTCCCAATTTATAGTATCAACCAAGAGTGTCCCAGGCATTCACTCATTTTCTAATAAAGGAGCAAGTGCTTGAGAGTTGGGCAACCCTGGGTTCATGTCATGATTTTGCTGATTACCAGTTTGGGACCATGGACCAATTACTTGACTTCAAAGATCCTCAGTTTCCTCAACTGTAAAATGGGGATGATGATACTTACCTTCTAGTGTTATTGTCAAGCCCCAGTAGAAAGAGCAGAATACTTTGGTTGCAGAGGTCAGTTCTGCTGCTCACTTGCCCTGTGTCTTTGGTCAGCTTATGACTGACAATAAGCTCATTTGGAAAACGAGCATAATTACGATTGTCCTTATAGAGTTGTTAGGAAAATTATATAAAATTTATGTTAAGAACTGGTGCTCAATAAAATGATTATTCTGAGACATAATAATATACTAGTGTTTTTCCTGCTTTCTATGATCCACAAGCACTATTTATTATCCTGAATGTTGTCACTAATGTTATTATTATTATTATTTTATTTTATTTTTTTTGAGTTGGAGTCTCACTCTGTCGCCCAGACTGGAGTACAGTGGCCGCTCCCGGCCACCGCAGCCTCGACCTGCTGCTCTCCGGCGTTCCTTCCGCCTCAGCCTTCCAAGTAGCCGGAATTATAGGCGTGCGCTACCACGCCCGGCTGATTTTTTGATTTATTGTAGAGATGAGGTCTCGCTACCCAGGCAGGTCTCGAACCCTCAGGCTCAGGCAATCCACTCACCTCAGCATCCCAAAGGCACGGGATTACAGGCTGAGCCACCGAGCCCGGCTACTAATGTTACTATTAAAGGTTGAATTGATTTTGGCCATACTAAAACTTCCTATTTTACATCCTGAAAAATCCTGAACAATCCATAAATGTGCCACTTATATGGAAGCTCCTTTAAGTTAGTTCTCTTTACCATACTATACTCCCTAGCAACTGGCCTCCAGAAGCCTGTAATTATATTCCAAACACATGTTTTCCCTGTGTAACGTGAGCATTGTCTACCTCAGGAGCTCCCTGAAGAGCTGGAATTCAGAAGGAATCTCTCAGACCCAAGCCCCCACCTCCTGCCTGCCTCCACTGGGCAGCCCCTTCAGACTGTCTCTGCCCAAAATGTCAGGAGAGGCCACAGCCTTGGCCTACCATGCTCCAAAGGAACAGGAAGGACTCATAGTTGTGAAGGTTGAAGAAGAGAGTTATGTTTGGGGGCAGGCCTTTGGCCTTCAGGGAAGCCCCTGGAGTCAAGAGGTATTCCGTCAGCAGTTCAGGCACTTTAGTTACTCGGACTCCACTGGGCCCCGAGAGGCTCTCAGCCAACTCCGCGAGCTTTGCTGTCAGTGGCTGCTGCCAGAGGTGCACACGAAGGAGCAGATGCTGGAGCTGCTGGTGCTGGAGCAGTTCCTGGCTATCCTGCCCGAGGAGCTGCAGGCCTGGGTGCGAGAGCATCGGCCACAGAACGGAGAGGAAGCCGTGAATATGCTGGAGGAGCTGGAGAAAGAACTTGATGAACCAAGGCAACAGGTAAGATGTAGGCATTTTTGTTTGTTTGTTCGACCTATTGTAGGTTAATGGGGAGGCCAGTATGGGTGGCACTGACTTGGCTATCAGGGAGTTATACTGTGTCTGTCTTTTGGGCTAATCATTATTTACTCACTGAGGCTTTTGGTCCTGTTGTTTCTCTCTTAATACTTTGAGTTTTTGATCTGCCCTGTCCTGCCCTGTTACTCTAGGGGTTTTCCTCTTGTGTATCCTCAGAATCACAGTGCTGGTACTTGATTACTCCTAGGACACAGTTCATGGCCAAGAAATGATCTGGAAGGAAATGACAAACCTGGGAGCACTGAAGTCTTTGAGCAGCCCACTGCAACCCTTGAAAAACCAGTACAAGAGTGAGACTCAGGAGCCCCAGCCTTTCCAGGAGGGAGGTGAGGAGCCCTGGTCCATTTGGGGTTGAGGATGGTGGGGAAGGCTGTTGTCTGTGGCATGGTTCATTTGTTGCCAACTGGCTGTCACTAAGTACTGTGGAAAGGCCTCCTTGCCTAGAAGTATTTTTCCATTGACTCTGCCTAGAACCTGAAATTCCATATCATTTCTAATGTTGGGTTAAGAATTAAGTTCTTTAATAAAATCCTCCACTAATATCCATAATATTAAAAGGCCAATATTCTGTTCATTTATTTGGTTTCATTGGCAAGGCAGTCCCTGAGATGGAGATGTAGTATTCATCTATATGTATTCATACTGTATGAGTAGCAGAAAGTACATAGTAACTTGAACAGGGAAAGCTTAATATTAAGAATTATGAACGATAATAGAATATTAACTATACGTGGTATAAGAAAAAACCAAACTCTAAAGAATACAGAAATCTCTAGGCCTGAGGAGAACACTGAAGGAAAGAACAAATCTGCAAGAGGATGCCACATCTCCCCCTCCTCTGCCAGGACTGAGATCCAGATCTTGGAGAGGGTGCAGCAGTGACCCACTGGGTGGAGACCCTCACTGAGGTGGTGGTCTGGCAGGACTCACTGAGGAACCCCACCCTCAGGGGTGCCAAAAGCCCCCCAGAAGGAGGTGATGTGGCACAGAACTTGATGGAAGCCATCCACAGGGATGGGGCCTCTGGACCCAATTGGGTTGTGCACTGCTAGGTGTCCCATGCATTATAGAAACAGAAAGAACATGCCAGAACTAGGAAGAAAACCCCTTCTTCCGGTGCCTCGCTAGCCCCCTCTACTGAAGAAGCTTACCGCATTCCAACTGGCAAAAGATAAAAGTTTCTTATCACAGAAAGGACAATGAAGGGTGGGTTTGAAACCAAGAGGCAATAACAGTAGCTGTTATGAATGCCAAAGATTATAACTGAAAGGACTTTAGTCATTGGTAGACTAAATGCCCATCCTATGGGCAGCAGATACATCAGGCTTATTAGCTTGTTCCCATTAAACTTTGGTTATATCTAATTACTCTTTGGTTTCATCTTCACCAAGCAATCTATTAACTTCCCATGAAGCATGCTGTAATAAGAAAATGTACTAGTTCACTCTAGTGTCTGTGATGGTTACAGTACTCATAAATTTTCATTCTGGTTTCATTGCTCAGTTTCATGAGCTTGGTTAAGGAGAGTCTACTCCAAGAGGTAAGTCTATTCGTTGTGTGAGGACAAAATTCTATATATGAGGACACAAGCTCAACTGAACCTTGGCATTCATCAAAGGACTCCATCCACTGAGTTCTCCTGAGAAGTTTCCTCCCAGTCTTCCCCTGTGCATCACACCCTGATGCTGCCATTAGCAAGCAAGCCCTTGCAAGTGTCTTCTGAACCAAGCAGGAGCTACATTAAAATCGATATTGAAAGTTCATCTCATCAAGTCCCCCACCTTAAAGCAGGTAAACGTCTAAATCAGGGGTCCCCAGCCCTGTCTGTGGCCTGTTAGGAACTGAGTTGCACAGGAGGAGGTGAGTGGCGGGCAAGCAAGGGAAACTTCATCTATATTTGCAGCTGCTACTGCCTGAGCTCTGCTTCTTTCCGATTGGCTGCAGCATTAGATTCTCATAAAAGTGTGAACCTACTGTGAACTGTGCATGCGAGGGACCTAGGTTATGCACTCCTTATGAGAATCTAATGCCTGATGATCTGAGGTGTGACTGAGGCAGTGATGTTAGCACTGGGGAGCAGCTGCAAATATACAGATTAAGATTAGCAGTGAGGTTTGATTGTACTCATATCAAAATAATAATTTCATAATAATAATTATTTTGTTATTTATTAACAGTAATAATAATGGAAGTAAAGTACACAATAAATGTAATGCACTTGAATCATCCTGAAACCATCCCCGCTGTCCCTTGGGTCTGTAGAAAAATTGCCCTCCACGAAACTGGTCCTTGATGCCAAAAATATTGGGGATCGCTGGTCTAAATCATTTAGGGTAGATTATTATCTACTTTTTTTTTTTTTTGAGTTGGAGTCTTACTCTGTCGCCCAGACTGGAGTGTAGTGGCCCTCCTGGCCATCGCAGCCTTGACGTGCTGGGCTCTGGCGATCCTTCTGCCTCAGCCCTCCAAGTAGCTGGAATTACAGGCATGTGCTACCACGCCCAGCTGATTTTTTGATTTATTGTAGAGATGACGTCTCGCTGCCCAGGCAGGTCTCGAACCTGCGGGCTCAGGCAATCCACTCACCTCAGCCTCCCAAAGGCGCGGGATTACAGGCTGAGCCACCGAGCCCGGCTACTTTTTTTAAAAGATCTTGAGGAGCAGACACTCTGTGATACTTTCTTAAGTGCTTCTTGGACTTTTTCATATTGCTGTTTGTTATGGGGTGAGTTGTGTCCCTCTAAACCTCATAGGCTGAAGCCCTAACCCCCAGTACCTTAGAATATGACTGTATTTCTTTAGAAAGATTAAAATGGGGTTGTTAGGGTGGGTCTTAATACAATATGGCTGACATCCTTATAAGAAGAGGAGATTAGGACACAACACACACTGTATGGTCTTGTGAGGACTCAGCAAGAAGTGGGCTATCTGCAAGCAAGGAGAGATTGACCTCCAGAATTGTAAGAAAATAAACTTCTGTTATTTACCACCCAGTCTATGGTATTTTGTTATGGAAGCCCTAGCAAGCCGATACTATTTTAAAGTTCTTCCCTCACCAAGCCCATACGACATCTTCCCAGCTTTAATTTTATGCATTTCCTTTTGTTTATTTAGCAGAGTCCTCATAAAACACAACCTATACTTGAAGGCAATGAGTACACTGCCTCTTCACCCTGTTTCAGCTAAGCCTCACACTGCCTCTGCTTCCATCCGTGTTCTGTCTCTGTGGTTATCTTGCCACATTTCTCTGGACATGCTCAATTTCACCAAATTCATTTGAAGTTCAGGGAACAAGGCAAAACAAGATTCTCTAATGAGGATCTGATTAATTTAAAATGTAGACTATATTCATTCCCTAACTCTTATCTGTTATACTTTAAATCTTTTTGTTTGTTACTTCATAGTGGCAATATGTTATTGATTCAGCCACCTTATTAGTAAGGTGATTCATCTTTCAGATATCCTTGGCCTTAGCAAAATTTCCTCGTTCTCCATTGATGCCTAGTCTCTAAATGTATGGTCTTGAATAGCCTTGACTGGGTTCCTGGTAAGTCTTCTTATGCTAGTCTCTTTTCAGTCTTGAGGGTTTAGTCAGTCCTACCTCTGAAGAATTAATGTGATCCTAGGTCATAAGATATAATTTGCTAGAGGGCTCTACAGTGATTTGATTGTAAGAGTCACCATGCCATTTTTACAACCTTGGGCTACAACCTTCTGGTAGGTTCTTTACTAGCCTAATAGTATGCTTAGCACCAGAGATGGAGATTTGGCTGCATGTTATTTATGGAGGTTGTGTTCTTCAGGAGAAATCTGTAATGGAGGAAGAGAAATAGCATTAGGAAGGGAAAAGAACAAGCATGATGTGGTCTTAGTTAAAACCTAGCCTTGTTCTAATGTTTGGAGGCTGTGGAGGAGCCTGAAGCATAGTTGCACTGCAGAGTTCCCTTTTTGAGAACTGATAGGGCGGTTCTCCAGAGAAAAGGGTACATCTGAGCAGTTAGAACTGTCTTAATCAGTTAGGGCTGCTATAACAAAACACCATACCTAGGTAGTTTATATACAGCAGATATTATTCCTCACAGTTCTGAAGGACGAGAAGTTCAAGATCAAGTTTCAAGATCTGGTGTTTGATGGGGTCCACTTTCTCATAGAAGGCATCTTTTCATTGTGTCCTCACACAGTGGAAGGGGCAAATGAGCTCCCTTGGGCCCATGTTATAAGGGCACTTATTCTCATTCATGAGGGCTCTGCCCTCAAGACCTAATCACCTCCCAACAGCTCTACTTCCTAATACCATTGCCTTGGGGATTAAGATTTTGATATATGAATTCTGGGTGACACACACTTTCAGATTATAGGAGGAGCCAACACTCACAGCAGCTGAAGTAAGGAGGAATCATGTTGGTAAGGGGGACCTGGGTGAGCATCATCTACATAAAATTTGTCAGTGTGCAATTAAAGGCCACATCCCTAGTTAGAACGATTTAGACCAAACAGGATGGAGATGCTTACTGAAGTGTGGAGCTGGTAGAACTCACCAAGGAGCCACCCTTAGGGGTGCCAGAACAGGCGGGAATAGCAGAGGGTGTGTTTAGGAGGAGAGTCCTTGTTGCTTCTTTAAAGAGACTCCTATAATCTGTATACAACTTTTCAGCCTCTGGACTTTGGACTTGATTACAAATTAGTTTTCATTCTTAGGAAATACTAGTTGGTTTATTTGGGTTATCTCGATACTAATATTTCTAAATGCTCACGTGACTCTTTCTTATTCTACTTAGAATCGCTACTTGTTATTCCTAGGAATTACTCCAGTTAACTGTTTATTCTAAATTTTTGTATAATAATAAATGTACAGACAAAAATTAACATTTTAATGTTTTCCTGATCTGTACATCTAAGATCAACATTTTTATCTGGTCTCATGATTTGACTTCATGTAGTCACAAAATTTGAAGAGGTATCTTAAATCCCATAAGTTCTATTGCTTTTTGTTTGTTACTTCATAGTGGCAATATGGCAATATGTTATTGATTCAGTCACCTTATTAGTAAGGTGATTCATCTTTCAGATATCCTTGGCCTTAGCAAAATTTCCTCGTTCTCCGTTTATGCCTAGTCTCTAAATGTATGGTCTTGAATGGCCTTGACTGGGTTCCTGGTAAGTCTTCTTATGCTAGTCTCTTTTCAGTCTTGAGGGTTTAGTCAGTCCTGCCTCTGAAGAATTAACGTGATTTTCACAGCCCTTCCCTATCCTGCCAATTTATGTCCTTTATAATTTACACTCCCTAATTTGACCTATTTATTACTTTCAGAAAATTCATCTTTAGGTCATCAGGTCTTTGACTTTAATCTATTTTGTACTTACTCTATTTTTCTGCCTCTATTATATACTAGTATATATTTTTTTAATTAATGTTTTCCTTTTGAACAAGCATAATCTTTAATAATTAAATTTCTATCTAAAATCCACGGACAGTGTGAATTTTAGTGTCCAGCCCTAATCTAAGAGGTGATGCTGTCTGTCTTTAATTTCTGGTAAGGAATGCCAGGTAGCTCTATGCTTTAGTCAGATATCCACTGTGATGCTTCATTGTTGTGTCTGAAGAGTATCAGAAACAAGTATTCATTTTCATGTAAAAACATTACACTTTTCCAAAGCCAAAGTAAAATTATTCCTAAATTTTTTGTTTCAGTGCAACTATGACCCTGCTTCCTTTCAGTAAGGAAGGCAGATAACATAAAGACTGCAAGCTTTGATGACAAGTATCTTTATTTGAATCCTGACTCTACCAGTTATTAATCCTATGGCTTTACATAACCTCTCTGAGCCTCAGTTTCCTGAATTTTTTTGACCATTTATATGTTAATAAAGTGAACCTATAAGATTCTTTTGTAGTCCATGTGATGACTTAAAAAGAAAAAGAAAGATTCCCACCAGACCATAGAATGGGTCGTAAACCTACAATATTTTTTTTCTCATGTTCTATTTGCTTATACTTATTTGATTCATATGTAAAATGCAAGTAAATTTAGAGAATTTGGGGGAAGATGAGAGTAACTTAATAGTTTTTAGAATAAAATAATTCAAGTTGTATCAGCTATATCTAGTAGTCCCCTATTATGAGTTACTAGAAATCAAGAGATAAAAAAGGCATACTGTGTGAGAACCAGAAGGGCTGGCTCCAGGAATTCACATCTGCCAGCTGTTTCCATCTTCTTTGACTATTTACACATTAAAAGAATGAACCTATAAGATTTTTTTGTGTTTCATGGATGACTTAAAAAATAAAAAAAAAGAATCCCACCTGACCACAGACTGAGTCAGGAACCTGCAATATTTCTTTTCTCATGCTGTGTGTCATATTCTTTTTGTTTATAATTATTTGATTCATTTTGAGCCTATTAGAATTTGCATTGCTTTAATACTGTCTGGTTCTTACCTGGCTGCCTCTGTTCAATACTAACCACCAGAGCTTTCTGGTTTCTCACCAATACTCCTATTTGTCACTATTTCCTCTAACTATTGTCTTCTCTTGTTCACCATCCCTCCTGCCCAATACTGACTCATTCTTGGTCTACCTTACTATCTAAGGGAGCCACATCTTGCTTCTTTATTTCTTCTTGCTTGTGAAGCTAGAACTTTCCTCCTAAATGGTAAATATCTATTTCATTTGGTTGATTTTCTGTTCCTGTTAGAATGGTTTTCTTTCCTCCAACATGGGAAGTAAATGACACCTCCATTTTCTATTCATGTTTTTAGATGGGAAGATGGTGACTGAAAAGGTGTTGACAACAAAGCAAGAAATTATTGAATGTGTAGCCTCAGCAGCTATGCTATCCCCAGGAAGACTTCCTGGGGAAACGCCTTTAGAACAGACAATTGAAGAAGCTTTGGGAGGTCTGGACAAGTCTGAGAAGCAAAAGGGAAATGCTGTAAGGAACAAAATCAGTCAGCTCCCTTCCCAGGAAAGACATTTCAGTCTAGCAACCTTCAACAAGAAAATCCCTACAGCACAGAGTGTCCTTGAATGTAATGAACATGAAGGAAGTCTTAGTCTGAATTCAAATGATAATAAACAACAGAGGGTTCACACTGGGGGAAAGCTCTATGAGTGCTTTGACTGTGGGAAGGCCTTTTTCCAGAGCTCAAAGCTGATTAGACATCAGAGAATTCATACTGGAGAGAGACCTTATGCATGTAAAGAATGTGGCAAAGCCTTCAGTTTGAGCTCAGACCTTGTTAGACATCAGAGAATTCATAGTGGTGAAAAACCCTATGAATGTTGTGAATGTGGAAAAGCCTTCAGGGGCAGCTCAGAGCTCATCAGGCATCGGAGAATCCACACTGGAGAGAAGCCTTATGAATGCGGTGAATGTGGGAAAGCCTTCAGCCGGAGCTCAGCCCTTATTCAGCATAAGAAAATTCACACTGGAGATAAAGGCTATGAATGTATTGAGTGTGGTAAAGCTTTTGGTAGGAGCTCTATCCTTATAGAACATCAAAGAATTCACACTGGAGAGAAACCTTATGAATGTAATGAATGTGGAAAATCCTTCAATCAGAGCTCAGCCCTTACCCAGCACCAGAGAATTCACACTGGGGAGAAGCCTTATGAATGTAGTGAATGTAGGAAAACATTTAGATATAGGTCAGGCCTTATGCAGCATCAAAGAACACACACCAGAGTTTAACTCTGTGGGTAAGAGTTGTACAATTCTGCAGTGCATGGAATTCACTGTGGAGGTAAGACTCTACTGAAGATGGAAGTTTCCTGACTGCAGGATTTCTGTCCTTCTAGTCCAGTTTGGTACTATAAGAGGAGATGCACACATAGATGTTTGTTATGATTATCGAAGTGCTGAATGGAAGAAAAATCTTACCTTGGTCTTTTCCAAAAAGAATGGTAGGTATTTCCTAGAAATGCCTAACCCATTTCCAGATGAGACTCATCAGTACCCCTTTCACTTCACTCTCTACCAACCCAGATATAACTGCCATTGGAAACCTTCACAGTAAGTCCAGGATTGGGGCAGAGGTCCCAAAAAAGACTTCTATGAAGTGGCAAAGATACTCAGTGAGAGCATGTGTGCATTTGATAGGTGGAGGTACGTGCTGAGTTATTTAACTGTTGGAGATGTTGAATTCAGATTGTGAAATATGAATTACACTATTAATTTAATAGTATCTGAGGGAGTTTAATAGTACCTGAGGAATGGTGACTCGTTCTGCCCCTTTGCCAGTTCCCTCCTCAGCACTGAGCTTCTGTTGAGGTCAATTTGGGTCTACCAAATTGTTAGCACATACTGAGCACCTGCTATGTGCTAGCCATTGAGGTATACATGGTCACTGACCTCCCAGAATTAAGGGCTAATGGGACATACATATTTACTAAACAGATAACTACAGTAAAGTGTGATTAAGTGCCTTGGCAGGTAAATGTGGGGTTCTGTCAAAATACATGACGGGTTCGTAAGCTGGTCTGTGAGTCACTAAAGACTTTCTGGATATGATGGCATCTCAGTGGAGACCAAAAAGGTGGGTAGGAATTAGGTCAAGGGCAAGGTAAAAAGACAAGAACATTCCAGGCAGAGGTCACAGCACATACAATGATATGAAGATAAAAGAGGATCTGGAGACCTCCCTTCATTGGGACTTTCTCTGCAGCAGGAATTGGTTGTCATAGACCCTGGCTCAGAAGCTGTGACATGTTGGCTTTTCTCTTTATATTTGTAATTGCTGAGTTGGGGAGCCTATCCCTGATGCAGAGTGGCCCACGAGACCTTGAAGTGCTCAGAATTTGTGTGGAAGACTCTGGTGCATCTTATGGAAACAGGCACATAGGCTCACAAAGAAAGAATAAATATTGCAGACCAGAGAGACCATGGGGACTGGAGTGTTTGTGTCCCATAGCCCTGGGGCTTAAGGGGTGGGAAGCATACGGGATACAGTGATGTGTGGTCTGCCTTCCCAGGCTCCACTGCTTCCCATTCCTTGCTCTGACCCTCCTCATCAGGTTTGCAGATCCTAAGCTACTGGAGGGCAATAGAGTTGTTTAATTAGATTTCTGTTGAATCATATTCCTCAAAATTATGCTTCTCTGCTAATTTTTACTTTGGCAGTTTTAATTATCCCACCATTGCTGAGGGCAATGAATACGAGATAAAGTTTGATTCCTCTTCTAAGGTGTACTTCCAGATGGTGTCATTTATGAAGACTTGTATGTAGATCAGAGCTGTTGTAGGGAGTTGAAACTGGGGGGACACTTCACCCCCTTTGTGTCCAAAGGTTGTGCAATTATTGTTGAGCGAGGTCAATCAGAAGTCTAAAGGGATCCTTCAGATGGATAGTGAGTTGCCTTTTCCTATGATTGACAATCAGATGATTTAATGTTTTAAATATTATTTAATAGATTTTTTCTGTGAATTAACTGTAAATGTTGCTAAATACAGAAAATGAGAAAGTGTAAACCAGCCACAATCCCATTACCCATAGAAACATTGTTAACATTTTGGAGTACTTTCTATTAGTGTTTATTTTTCCCAACTCTAATAATTTTGTTAAAAATCTTGTTTTCTAAATAATTTTGGTAACTAATTTTAACATTTATACCTTGAATATATACTTCAACTGTGTAGTATTAGAATGTAATGCAAGATATAATAAAATGTGAGTTTTAAAGGTCTTCTTTGACATTATTATTCATTCAGAATAGGGAACATGATAACATGAGTGGAGATAATGCCAGGAGGATGGGGAGAGGGTTGTGGGAGGAAGCCAGGGAACTGGTGTTCTTAGTTTCTATTTCCCAGGCCAGAAAGTGTCAGGAAACTAAGGCAGCCAGTCTCTAGGGCTGCAGTTAACCAGGCAAAGTCACAGAATTGAGGGGGCACCTGGAATTGAGTTGTTGAGAGACCACAGGAATAAGAGCAAGAAGAAACTTCATTAAACACATACACATTCTATATCCACCAGAATTAGGACTCCTCCTTCCCTTTGTTCAGGTGTTGAATGGACCAATTGGAGTCTTCAGCACTAATTGCTGAAACCAGGCTTAGACCTATGGACCTGCCATGACCTTTCCCTTTACCCTCATGAGCTTGGAAAGACCATAGTTAGGTTTGCTTTAATTTTCTGATCCTCTTATCTAAACAGGGTTAGGTGTAGGTATGGAAATGAGGAAGGGGACAGGTAGCTGATATTAAGCAAGCATTTTTCCTACATGGCACATTATCTTTTAAAGTCTTCAAAATGAAGAGAAACAGGACAACCCTGGGCAGAGAAAAGGCATGAATTACTTTTCTTCCAGGCAAGGCTGAAAGAGAAGTTTCCCTGACATCCACCTTATATTCATGCCCTTCCATTTCATAAAAACAGAATGTTGATGTTTTGACCATAAGAGATCATCTACTTCAGCTCCTTTAAAGTGAGGGTCTAGAGTTGTGAGGTGACTTGCTTATGGCTGCAGAATTCATAGAAAAGCTCTAATGATCAAAGGTCTCTACCTCAAAGCTATCGCTTTTCTCAACCATAAATCTCCATGCAAGTAACTTGTTTGCAGTGGGACTTATAATTTGTAGAGTACCTTTCACATACTGGGTGTGAGATGGGTAAATTTGCCATTGTCACTTTACCAGTGATGAGATTGAGGATCAGAGTTAACAAAATTAGTGAATGTCCTGAGACTTGGAAGGGGCAGAAATGCTATGGAAAGTAAGTGCTTCTCTTAATATTTTCTCAACTATTCTGAGCTTCCATTCACTTTTCTCCCCTAATTTTATGAGTATTAGATATTTATTGTAGAAAAATTTGGAAAAATGCAGAAAAGCATGGAAAAAAATTAAATCACCTATATAAATCACCTATAACCTCACCACCCAGAGATAACCAGTATAGAACCTTAAGATTATAAATTTTCAGTATTTTTAATGCGTAAATATATTTTTACATGAGATCATATTGTACATACTGACTTGTAATACTTTTACTTAACAATATAGCATGAAGGCTTCAATTCTTTTCATGTTAACTGACATCAGTTTTAACAGCTTTTAAGAGGGTCTAGAGTGCATCACAATGGTTGCCGAAGAATACATTTCCAGGTAGAATTTCAGTCAAAAGGCAATGTTTAAGGCTTCTGGTATTGACTGCTAGAGACAGTAAGTATTCACATCTTACCAGCAGCAGTAGAGTCCCAATTTCCCTGATTCTGTCATCTTAAAAACAAACAAAAAGCAAGTGCCATTCCAACTCTTGCTCTAATACACATTTTAACTTTAGTGAGAATGAATTTATGTACTGTTCACTGGTGTTTACTCTTTTTTTGATTTGCCTACTAAGTACCATTTTTACTACTGGAACTTTCCTATGGGGAGACAGTGTAGAGAAGTGGCTCAGCAGTGGGGCTCTGGGTTCAAAGTCTGACCTCACCACTTTTTAGCTGTATGACCTTTAGCCTTCATTTCCTCATCTGCAAAGTATGGGCTGTAGTGAGAAATAATTAATCCATATAGTCAAAGCCCTTAATAAGTATCTATTCTTGATATATATATATAAGAACTCCTATATAAAGAGTATTTCCCTTTTGCAATCTGTCATATCAGTTCCACCTCAATATCCTATTCCTTTTCATTTGCTTGTGGTTTTTAGGACCACACTCCTCCCTGCTATTTACCTGGCTTTCTCCTACTCATACTTCAGGTCTTTCTCTGTGGAAAAGGAGGAAAACAAGAGTTGAGTAGCTCTTACAATGTGTTTTGTTATAGTTTTCCATCTTTTCCAAGTAATGCTATCCCCCTTTTCCACATTCTTCTCCAAACATGGTGGCCCTCCTGTTCCTACTGGTTGGCATATGCCAATCATATATGCCTCAACAGGAGCATTACTTCTCTTTGCTGCTTCTTGTCCTCATGATAATTTTTTCTATGTACCAGATTCTAGACTTGCAGACTTGTTTTTGGTAAGGTGTGTCAGTCCTCCAACCTATGTCTTTTGAATGACATGTCTTTCTGTTGCTGAATAACCTGCATAACTTTCCACCATGCACTAAGCACCAGCCCAAGGATACTCCTGCTGGCCCCTTGGAAGAGGGGAAGTCTTGACTGATCACAACCATTAGTTTCTGTCATCACTTCCTTTCAGCATCATCTTTAATAAAATTTGCTGATACTGAGAAATACTGATAATATAAGATAAAACTAAACATGTATCAGCTGCCTGGAAAGTAACTCACAGACCTAGCAACAAACAAATATTATTTGAATGCCTGAGCAAAGGGTATACTAGGGATTCAGCCCCAGAAAACATGGTACGGTGACTTCTGACCCAGAGCCCTGGGGATTAGAAGGAATTTGACTGTTTTAAGAACCAAAGGAAGCTGGGCATAGTGGCTCATGCCTGTAATCCCAGCACTTTGGGAGACCAAGGCAAGAGTATTGCCTGAGCCCAGGGGTTCAAGACCAGACTGGGAAACCTAGCAAGACCTCATCTCTACAATAAATTAAAAAATCGGCCAGGTGTGGTGGTGTTTGCCTGTTGTTCCAGCTACAGGATGGCTGAGGTGGAAGGATAGCCTGAGCTCAGCAGGTTGAGACTGCGGTGACCCTGAGCATGCCACTGCCTATAGGTTGAGCTAGGAAACTGCACGAGCCCTTTCCCAGGGATCACATTGACTAAGACAAAGCTCCTGACTATCCTGTGGTCCAAGGGATCAAGTTTTGCCTATTTGCAAACTTCTCCATTGGCTTGTATGTTGCTATAGGATCTGTTTAGGAGAGTCTGGCCAAACCCAAGCTTCTCTTACAGACATGACCTCACTGCAAAAATAACTCAAAGGAATGCTCCACACTTTCGTCTTGGCCTGTGTCTGTTGTTCCTTCTACTGGGAGCATTCATCCCTGGCCTAATCCCTGACTAACACTAATCCTTCAGGTCATTTCCCCATTTCCTCATCCGAGGTCCAGTTGGGTGTTCCTTAAGGTCACAAAACACTGACCACACTGGTGTCATTGCATTTAGTTGCCTTGCCCATTGCACTGTAGAGATGTCTTGTTTTCCATTGTATCCCTAGTCCCTGGCACAAAGTAGATACTCAAAAAATAACTGCTGAATAAGGAAATTTATATTCTTCTCACACATATCTAGTTTCTGGCCTGCCCTGGGCTCAAAACATCATTAATTAAACCATTTCCCCACCTTTCTAACTGCCCTGTCACTGTTTTTGGGGGGTCAGTAACATTTTTTTCAGTTCCTGAGAAAAAATCCTTCATGTTGCCCACACCCTCCCCCATCCTGGCAACTGACGATCAGATGCAGTGACAGATCCTGGGTCGCTATAGGCTTTCATGACATTCTCATAGAAAACAAGGTTTCAATGTTACATTCCTATTTTTTGTATTTCCTGAGTATTTCTAATGATAAGAAAAAAGCTCAAAGTAATGATTCCCATCTTCGTTTCTGATTAGTCACAGGAAAAGCTTTCAGGGACAATTTACACTAGCATTGGAAAGTGCCGCACAAAGCAAGTTAGACTGACTCAAGATCTCGTAGTTTACAACTTTTATGTAGTCTTGCCCCAAAGTAAATTCTTTTGACTAACAAAGATAAAAATGTGACTGAAGTATTTATAGTATCCATTGTATTCACAAGTTACTTCATAGTGTGGACTCTCTGATGGCGCATAAGAACTGACCTGTGCCTGAAAGCCTTCCCACATTCATTGCATATATAAGCTTCATCCCCAGAATGAATTCTCTGATGCTGAACAAGGGCTGAGCTTCTTTTGAAGGTCTTGCCACATTCATTACACTGATAAGGTTCTTCTCCACTATGAATTCTCTGATGTCTGATAAGGTTTGAGCTCAAACTGAAGGCTTTCCCACATTCATTACATTCATAGGGTTTCTCTCCACTGTGTATTCTCTGATGAGTAATCAGTTCTGAGCTCTGCCTGAAGGCTTTTCCACATTCGTTACATTCATAGGGTCTCTCTCCTGTATGAATTCGTTGATGTCTAATAAGTTTTGAGCTCTGACTAAAGGTTTTCCCACACTCATTGCACTCATAAGGTTTCTCACCAGTGTGAATTCTTTGATGTATAATGAGATATGAACTCTGACTGAATGCTTTGCCACACTCATTACATTTACAAGCTTTCTCACCAGTATGGATTTTTCGATGTCTGATAAGGGCTGAGCTCTGATTGAAGGCTTTCCCACATTCACTACATTCATATGCCTTCTCACCACTATGAATCCTCTGATGAATAATAAGATATGACCTCAAACTAAAGGCCTTCCCGCACTGGTTACACTTATAGGGCTTTTCTCCAGTATGGATTCTCTGATGCTGTGTTAGAGAGGAATGCTGCTTGAAGCTGTGCCCACATACATCACATCTAAAAGGTCTCTCTTCTGGAGGAACTTTCTGACACATAATAGAGTTTGTAGTTAGAATCAAGCATCTTTCAGGATCAAAATAATGGCCTCTCTTTCCTAGAGATTTGTGTGTGAAGATCACTTGACTAAAACTGCTCCCTTGGGAAGAGGATCTTCTTAATTTTTCCCCCATGGCACTTCCTTGCTTCCACTGTAAATTGCTTTCATGCTCACTAACTCCTCCAAATGAAGGTTCCTGAGAGAGGCCCTGTGATTTCTCTCCTGAAATGTCCTCCTTTCTTGCTGTTTCATTGTTCTCACAATCTGAAATGATAAATAGCAAAAAAACAAAAAACAAAAATATAATACATTTCTCCAGTCCCTCTCAACACTTTCTATTTGAGAGAAAATAGAAGCTTCTGTCTACAAAGATGCAACTGTCCTCCTATATCTTTTCTTCAACTAGTCAAAACAGAGTCTCTTTTCTAATGCTAAAGCCTATACCTACACTTTGAATTTCACCCATTCCTGCCTCTTTTGAGACATCAGTTGATCGATTACCTACTATTTCTTTCCTATTATTTTCAACCTCTTTGATTGACTCCTATTCATCAGCATTTAAACAAGTTCAAGTCTCTCTCACCTTTAAAAATAAAGCTCCTTGCCTATGCATCTCCCTCAAGCACTCCCATTCACAGTAAAGTTTCTTGAAATGGTTGTCTGCAATCTTTCATGTGAAAAGTGTCCCCATTCTGCAGTCTGGTTTCTGTCTTACCATCTCCTTCCCCCCACCACTTCCATTGATACTATTCTCATCAAGGTCACTGACTTCACAGTTGCTTAATCCAATTGGTACTTTCTGGATCTTACTTAGTTGGCCTCTCTATAGCACTGGTACTGAGGACTACACCTTCTCTGGAAGAGACATTCTCTTTCAGCTATATTAGACTGATTTCTGTGGCTGATCCTTCTTAGATTCTAGAGTTAGTCACTCAAACACTAGTGCTCTTCCAGATTCTGTTCTGGGCTCTTATGTATCCTAAATCTATAAAATCTACCCTTCGGCTTCAAGTACTACTTACACTGTAAGCTAATTCTGCCCAGATCCCCAATTCTATCCCAATTCTATTAAGCTATAGACTCTCATATCCAACTGCTAGTTGGAAATATTCACAAGCACCAAAATGTCCCAAGCTAAACACATCATCAGATGTATTTGTTTTTCTTAATGTTTCTCCATACATGAACAGCATGACCATTAATGAGGTTGTTCAAGACTGAACCTGAGTGCCACCCTCAACTCCTCTCCCTCACACTCTACTTTTAACAAGTACCAGATACTGCAACACAATTTAAACGTTGTTGAACAGTTCATCTTCCCCACCCCCACCATAACACATACTGGATTACAACAGTCTGTGACGGGTCTCTACTCTTGCCTTCCTCATAGCCACTCTCTATCTGTAGCTAAGTTTTAAATCACAAATCCAACCACGCCACTCCCTTGCTCAAAATCCTTCAACTGTACTCCACTGCACTTAAAAAACTGTACAAATTAGCATGATGTATATGTGTTCACAATGTGAGACTCATTTTCCTTGCTAGCTCGTCTCTCACCACCTATCCCCTATCAATTCTCCAAGTCAAACTGAAGAACCTACAATTTTCAGAACAGGTTGTATTTTCTCACCTTCAGGATTTGCTGGCCTTCAGGGCCACTTTTCTCCCATTTACCCAGCTTTCTCCTACTCATACTTCAGGTCTTAGCTTAGATGTCTCTTCCTCCAGGAAGCATTCCTTGAATATTTAAGATTGGTGTAGCTGCTTTTATATGTGCTCCCATAGTTCCCAGTGCCTACTTTTATTCAATAATTTACTGCACTATATTGCAAATGTCGTTCTGCTTGTCCATCGCCCACCCACACCTGAAAGCTCTTGGAAGACAGAGGCCCAGTACCTACCACCGTACTAGACATGTATTAGCCTCTATAAAGTTATAAAATGATGGAATAAGTCAACGAATGACAGGTAAACTGATACAAGGAGGACTGGTTGCAATTTGTGAGGGCTGGTGAATACAAGGCTGCTAAAGTGAGCACCTCTGGCTTAGAATAATAAAAGTTATGCTCACATGTGGCAAGTTTGTAAAACACAGTTAACTCTGCATCCTCTAAAACAGAGGTCTAACTGATAAGAATTCCCAGATGAGTTTCTATTCCTCACCACTTCTGGAGGAAAGGCAAGGTTTCCAGGATTTCAGCTGTGTCTTTAAGGGCTGGAGTTGGATGTTTGTTGATTCCTGGGATGCGCCAAGATATGTTAAATCCTTCCACGGCACTGCTGGTCCCTGTGGACTAGCTAGGTCCTGAAATCAGTAAAATATGGTTAGCTTTGTGAGAAAATCCTAGGGAAACTGCTTAGCAACAATCTCAAAGAGTTTAAGTAGGACACTTCCGGGGATGAAGGCTAGGAAAAAAGACCATTTAAGGGTAGAGACAGGTATGACCCTATTAGTCATTTCAGGTTAGGGTTCAGTAGAGACATACAAATCACATGCTCCAGGCTGTAAATTAGTTTTCTCACAAGTTATCACTTCCCACCTGCTGCCCTGGATCATCAAACTCCCTCTCCAAGTCCTCCAGCAGGATCACAGCTTCCTCGCCGCTTTTTGGATTATGCTGCTGAACCCAGACCTGCAGCTCCTCAGGCAGGATGCTTAGAAACTGCTCCAGCACCAGCAGTTCAAGGATCTGCTCCTTTGTGTGCAACTCGGGCATTAGCCACTGATAGCAAAGCTCCTGGAGCCGGCCCAGAGCCTCCCGAGGTCCAGGTGTCTCCTGGTAGCAAAACTTTCTGAATTGTTGGCGAAATAATTCTTGGCAGGATTGGGTACTCCCGTTCTGTTTAAATGTCTCATCCCAGGAAACACCCTCATCTTCTACTTTTACTAGTATTAGTTCTTCTTCCTGAGGATCCTGAGATACCACAGTTGAAACTCCTCTGGATTCTACATCCATTCTGGGTTGAAAGAGCTTAGCAAAAAGCTTAGTACAACTGGACTCTGTACTTCAGCAATGTGAGTAATATCTTCTCTCCTAAAGGATATAAAAGCATTGGAAAAAATCTCTAAGAACTTGTCATAAAGATCGGTCACTCCAGTAGTATACTGAAAGGGAGTACGTGTGAGGGTATAATTAAATAAAACAATAATCAAATGTCAAACTAAAAATCATTCACCTCATCAGTCTCCCATTATGTAGAATTCCTACCACTGTTACAAAAAAAATATTTTACAAGTGAAAGAATGGAACATTAACATCAATTTCGTAGTAAGAAAATAATTTCCTTTTGAATTCTCTTTCAACGCTGATTGCATCAAGGAGAAAAATCTGTCTTTAACACATATGTAAAGGTTGCAGAACTTCCTTTCTAAAGAAGTACAGGCTTCAGACTCACACTTCAAAGGGTAACACTATCTAAGCAGGACTTAATAATGCTGATTTTAACCATTTATTTTTAGTTACCTTCTATCTATAGCAGGTAATTTAAGGAAGCAATAAAACATTAAAAACAATTAACATTAAACATGAGTTGACAAATAAAAATGTTACGGGATATGTGCTATCTGATCACATTTGGTATTCACTGAATCTCTTCTACACTAAGGCATTCACTATGGGCTGTGTCCTGAGCCAGGCATTAGATTAAGGTTTTCATTCGTGAATAAATGAACCTACTGAGAAATCACCCAAAAAGTACTTGTAAATTGCTTACCATGTGTTCAAAAACATGTTAGAGATCACAGACACCAAAAAAGCAAAAAAGTTAACCAAAGCTCTCAGAAAGCTTAGAATATCCTGGGAGTAAACATTTTTAAAAGTGAAACATGGAAAAAAAAAAAATGATGTGTTAAATCTTGTGATACAGACACCAAACACGATCTGATTTTAGGATGAGGGATAGCGATAGGAAGTGTGTGCCCTTGAATTAGCAGGACAGAGGAGTCAAACTCCATCGTATCACTACGGTTAACTTTAGAAGATTAATCAGAATTTTGGGCTACAAACCTGTGGTCTACTAACCAGCCCGGCGCACTAACTAAACCCTCCTATTTTTACATCCCAGGTAAAACCACAGCATTTGCGAAGTCACCGGGGCTGGGGGACTGTGCCTTCCCCTGGGACGTAGGCGCCTGAGCGCCGGCCTCCTCCGCGACCGCGAGACGCTCAGAGCCCGGAACGAGGGGCCGCGACCCCG